GATGAAGTACACTACCTTTTGTAGGTCATGGATGAAACTAGTGTAGGGGTCAATTAGGCTGTATGAGCCTTAGAGCAGGACATTGTTCAATGATGTCCTAGTTATACCTTCTTTCATCCAAGTCACATTCAATAAAAATTATGTGTTAAGTTGGGAGTTGGTGACTCATAATCTCAGTTGTTCAAGAGGCTGAGATCTGAGGATCATTATCTGAAGCCAGCACAGACAGAAAAGTCCATTGGACTCATCACCAATTAACCAGCAAAAAGCCAGAAATGGAGGTATGACTCAAGTGGTAGAATACTAGTCTTGAACAAAAAAGCCAAGCAAGAGAGTGAAGGCTTGAGTACAAGTCCCAGTCTGGGCCCTAATAATAATAGTAATAACAATAACAATAATAACAAATTATTTATATATGATAAATAATAAATTATTATTGTGTGCCAATGGTTTATTCATGTCTATCCTGTTTCTAGACCCTGACCAAAATTGTGCTAAGTGATTCTTTCTTAGTTGCTTCTAGAATTGTGGCCTCTAATGTAGTAGGTACATGGTATATTGATATATATGTGAAATGTGATATAAATGTGAAGTGTGTGGTAGATTTTATGACTAGGAAGAAATATATGGACTATTCCATAATAATTATTTGTGTTAGATACATGTTATGATGCTTTTTTCATATATTGAGTGGAACTGGGAAATTGATTAGCTTCATTTATTTTCCCCTTTTCAATATGGGTACCAGAACATTGAAAACTATGCACCTGGCTTGCATTATAATCCCATTGGACAGACTGGTGTTAACCCAACCTCTCAGAGCCTTAGCTTCTACTCTGAAATGGCCCCTTCCTACTTACAGGAAGGAGAGACAGAGGAGCTGTGTAGGTGGAGGGCTGTTGGAAAGGTGGTGAGCGATTTCTCCTAGTAACTTTGGGGAAGTAGTCTTTGCAAGCTTGAAGACTCTAGGACACTGCAAGGCTATATTAGAATTCCTGTGATAATTATTGCTGTAAATCACAGAGGAAAAGCAAGAAGTGGAAAATGTATCCTTACAATGAGATCAACAGGTAACAAACCTACTAATCCATAGTGGTCAATTCAATAAGCAAATGTGCAACGTGGTGCACACACACACACACACACACACACACACACACACACACACACACACACACACACACACATTCTTTCCCAGGTTATATTAGCCCTGAGATAGTCTTTGCAGGTAGCAAATTCAGTTCAAACCCTCAGGTCCGTCCAGTTTTTCATCTGTAAAGCAAGGTTCTGGATGCTATATCCCTGTAAGGACATTCAAATGAGGCATTTACTCATATTTTATTGTCCACCAGCACAGCAAAGGGAGGGAGCTCCTCAGACTCTGTGCACAACTGAAATATGCTTCTACTCTTTGCAAGCTCTGTGACTTAATTTCCTTGTCCCTTCATTTTTCTCACCCATTATAAGAAGAACAAAAGCAGTTCTTTGCCTTTTAAGGTTCTCATAGTGTTGACATGCATTAGAACATATCAAGGGCTTAGAAAAGAAAGCTGGCACTTTACTCATATTAGCTTTTCTTCCTTGTATGATTACATTCAAGTTACCTGATAACTTTTTCATGAACCAACATCCACCCATATGCATGCACTCTAGCTTGTTCTGGTAAGGAATGAATTCTATCCAGATCCGTCCATACTGCATTTGTTGGGACTTAACAAGTCCTATGTTTTTCAGAAGGGAGGAAAGGGAAAAGGGAGCTAGGAAGGGGAAGTGAGTGTTATGCTCGAACATAAACAAAATATGCCTTAACTTTCCCTCTGAGAATTTTGCACAGGTGAGTGAAACCCTCCCTTCCATGGTCCCTCCCTACTCTTGCCCCCCACCCCCAATTTCTCTCTTGCTCTTAACAGTATTTTAATGGCAATCTGAAAAGCCCTGCTGGTCTCTGGAACCTCTGATCTCCAGCTGCTTCCACAGGGCCCCTGCCAACTCCTCCCCAAATTCTTTAAGTGGAGAGCTATGTAGGGGGGAATCTAGAGTCTCCAGCTGTGTTCAGGTCCTGCAGTTAGTTGTGGGGATGTGGAGATGATGTGTAAATAAGGCCTAGTTTGATAACACAAAGGTCTTCCCTTGTGCTTCTACAGTCACTGGAATAGGTTTTCTTCAGGAAGGGGCTTGGTGGGGGCAGGGGGTGCAGATACTCATATTTCCATTTTAAGAAGCATTAAACTGATACGTAGCCATATGTCTACGGTTGTTGTGTCATTACGTATTGTAATTACAGTATGTCAAAAAAAAAAAAATCCAGGAGTATTTGGGAGGAAAAAAATCAATAGAAGGCCTAATGAAAGGAGAAGGTGAAAGGGGGTAAATAGGATTGGAGCACTTCATACACATGTATGAAAATAGAATAATGGAACCCAATAAATTATTTAAAAGAAAGAGAGAGTAAGAGAGAGTAAGAGAGGGGTTGATCAATGTGCTTTAATATGGGTGCATGGATATATCACAATAATAGACTGAAGTTAATGAAGTGTGAATGTGTGTGTGCACGCGCGCACACATGTGCATGCGTGTGTTGAGCAAAGGCACCAGACATATCTGGTTTCACTCATCATTACCTATTCCCTTTCTTGCTAAACCTCAGCTTGCTCGCCTGTGAGTTGATACTTTCCTCCCATGGGTAGTATAAGTTTGGAATAAGATAGGCAAAGTTTCAACTGCAGGACCTGGCACAACTACCTTGATCATTACACAGCTTTCCCAAGTTTTCCTCTTGAAATTCAAGGAAGTTGCATACCAGGGACCCCAAAATTCCCTCTTAAAATTCAAGGAAGTTGCATACCAGGGACCCCCAAATTCAGAGCCAGACAGAAATAGCCCTGAATCCTCTCTCCTCCTCATTGTGTGACTTTAGGCAAGTTACTTCACCCCAGCATGACCTTTCCTCTTCTGCTCTATTATCTACCTTCATCCCATCTCCCTTAAGCCTTGTTGGAGCAGAGCAGATTGTTCAACAACATTGAGAGAATGAATGAATGAATGAGTAATAAAACCTTGCTGGAGGAAGTAGTAAAAATGAGTAGACTTTTTGTAATACTGAATGCCATTTGAAATCTGAGAAAATTATGTAGTAAATCTTTTGGTGAATGGAATGTAACACTTTAATCTATACTTTTCTTTTCCTCAGGTGGAGGTTTACAAATAAATAATGAGTTGGCAGGGTACTTGATTCAAAAGATACAAAGAGTTAAGGAGACAAAATGGCCTCCTTCTATCTCATAATTCTCTGCCCGGGATAGCCTCTTCTACCAGATTCTAGAATCTCCTGCTGGAGACAGTCTCTTCTTCAGATATCTAAAGGTCTGTCCATTAAAGTTCTCACAAACCAAGTGCCTCTTCCCGCTTCCCACACTCTCACCCCACTGTGCACAGCAGCTCGGTCCGCCTGTTTCCTCTGAGAATAATGTTCCTGGCCTTTAATCCTCCTCTATCCAAATCTTACTCTTGTTTTGATGAATAAAGTAGTGAAAGCCACACTGGAGGTGGCATTCCAGGTCAGCCTGGACTCTGTGGTAAGACTCTGAAACCCAAGTATGTCTGATAGCCAAGATCAAGTTCTTTTATTCCAGGACATCGATTGTGAGAAGGGGTTCATTTCCATACATGCATCTGATGTACTTTTTACCAAAGTCAACCCCACTGTTGCTCTCTCCTACCTCTTCTCTTTTAAATGAAACCAAAAATGACTGAGAGCAGAAAGGTTGTGATAAGAACTCCTATCTCCCTTTCTTCAGAGTTAATGACTTATTCACATTGTGGCACAATACCTTCCCATTTTATTTTCTTTCACCTTTTGATAACTAACTGTTCACAGTGTAGGAATTCATTGAGCCTTTCTCCTGAACATTCCTCTCTCCAGGTGTGTCTGTGAATTACCTCTTGCACCTATCCCTTTTCCCACCTGTCAACACACGCCCATACCTCTCTCTTTCCTGTGCTATCCCCAAGTTTCCTAGATGCTTGCGCCACCTCGTACCCACCCTAGGCCTGGGTGTTCCTAGAGCATCCTAAGTGGTTCATACACAAAATCAATTCTTTCTCTTGCTCCAGAACTTCCTGTGACAGTCAAAGCACAAATCCGTAACTCTATTCTCCCTCAGCTGGACACAGCAAGCCTTCTGCTATAGGCTCTCAAATGCTCTTTTCAGCCAGTCTGGTACTTAGTGTCGCCTCTCACTGCTGCACTCCTGTCTCTAGGGGTGGTCTGCAACAACCTCTCCTTGGAACTCCTTTTTTTTCCTACCCCTGCAGTCCTATTCATCCTTCAGCCCTGACTTAAATCTCCTCCATAAAGCCTTCTTAGGCCCTCTGTGTTGAAATGAATTGCTCTCTCCTATATTTCTGGCCTCTCATTGCATGGTAAACATAAGCCATGAATTAGGTTTAGGACTCCTAAGGATCCCATTTGTCCCCCTGACTAGCTTATGATCCTCTGACTGGTAAGGACTGAGTCACATTCATCTTTCTGTCTCCAGCGTCTGGCCCTAGCCTGGCACGTAGTAAGCCCTTGATTGAAATGTGTGTGAAATTAGGTTGCTGGGAGTATTTAGAGTTAGGCCCATCATCCACAGCAACAATAGGACTCCATTATTTAGTGCCCACTGTGAATGTGGTATCTTGTATATGGGATCTCTATTCATCTAGGGCCAGCTTCAGCAGGATAACCACAGTTATTGCTCTTGCCTCAGGGAGGAAGAACCCAGAGCTCAGAAGGATGAGGTAGCTCCTCAAGGTCATACAACCCAGAAGGTCATGATTGGAACCAAAATCCACCTCAGGGAAGAGCATGAACTCCCTCCAGAAAGGAAGCTGATTCCTGGGTCATTGGGGATTTAGGGAGAAGTCTGGAGACAGGTTGCTGGTGTGTGGGCTGGCACAGTGGTATATCAAGTTTCTGGATTCGGATGGAGCAGACTGACAGGTTGTGTTCCTTGCAGGGGGAATCAGCTTTGGAAGAACCAAGGGGACCTCGGGTTCTGAGGCAGATGATGAAACCCAGCTAACTTTCTACACGGAACAGTACCGAAGTCGACGTCGCAGCAAAGGTAACAGAGTCCTAGGGAAGGTTCCAGAACCCTGGGGTACAAGCAAAGCTTGGGGAGCAGATTTCATGATGATGTCAAGCATTAATCAACTCGGCTGACACTGAACTTGGCATCCACTGTCTGTCCAGACCAAACTACTTGTCTAATGGCCTTCCTTACTTTCTTTACCCTACTCCATTCTGTATTATTTATCCCACATCATTTCTCAAAGAATTGGAGGGGGGGGGGTGGAATTCAGTTTAAATCTATGTAGGTTTTTTTTTCTTTTAATTAAGCATAGGAAATGAAATAACTCTTGGCAAGAAAATAAGACTGAAAAAAAATTATTCAAACAAGTTAGGTTGGTGCAGAGTAACACATGTCATGCTGTATTAGGTAGTAGAAGGAGATACAGATTTAACTCTGAGGTTCCTAGCAACTAATCAGAAAAGAGAGCCAGGCATGGTTGACTTTTTAAAATATTTTTATTGTAAAGATACTGTACAGAGGGGTTACAGTTACATGAGTAAGGCAATGAGTATCTTTCCTATCAAGCATTGTTACCCCCTCCTTTGGTTTTTCCCCTACCATCCCTTCCTGCCCCACCTCCCCAACTCTTCCCTCCCTCTTCCCAAAGTTCGTTTTCAACATAGTGTCTTGTACATCGCATTGTTACAATGAATCAACCTGTATCCTTATTTCAGGATTTTGTTATTTCCCTTCCCCTCCCGAAATTAGAAAAAGAATGACACCATCCCATTTGTTAGGAAATGGAAAGATTGGAAAAAATTATATTAAGTGAAGTAAGCCAGACTCAAAGAAACATAGGTCCCATGGTTTCCCTTATTTGCAATAATGAGTACATGTCTAGGACAAGCAGAAAAGGTCATAAGCTATGTACATATGACCATGTAAGATGATGCTAAGTGAAATGAACTCCAAGACAGGCATGGCTGTCTAACAACTATAATCTTGATATTCAGAAATCTGTTATCCAGAAAATCACTGTTTGAAGCCAGCTTGGGCAAAAAGTTATTAAAACCTCAGCTCAATCAATTAAAAAAACTAGGCACAGTGATACAGACCTTTCATTACAGCTACATAAGAAGGTGTAAATAGGAAGGTCATAGTTCAAGGTGGCCAAGACAAAAAGTTAGAACTGATTTGAAAAACTATAACGAAAGCAAAAAGGGCTGGAACACGGGTCAAGTGGTACAATATCCAGTTAGCAAATGGTAGGTCAAACTCTAGTACCCCTCTTCCCACACACACAATGCAAGGAGAAATACAAGTAAGTAAAATGCATATAGGAATTATGGGATAGAACCAAGCATTTCACACGGTGTTCTATTTATCTGACACAGAGATCAGAGAGAAAGTACTCCACTCGCTCTTGGTAAACAAGATAGTATGTGACTTTCTATACAGTTATTTTCAACAGGTAACAAAAATCAGTATTAATGCATCATTATCTCTCACGATGACACTCAACGTAAGGTGATGTCAAAATGCTGGAACTCTGCTCTGTAAGCAGTTCCATCTCATAGCCCAAGCTCATTGTTCCGCGAAGATTCAATGTGTGGTATATGAAAATGCAGCATAATGTACACAATCACCAGTGAGTGCCATTTCTCCTGTCTTTATCGGAATAAGAAAGTAATGGGTGTAAGATTACATTCATAGAAGCAACCATGGATATATAAATAGATATTCCACACCAGAAATTTGGGAAGAATTGTGGTTTTTGACCACTCAGTGAAAGGAAGGTCCTTAGTCCCACACAAAGGCAATTAATCAAAACATGTGGGCTGACATTGCATGAGGTCATGGGTGGTTATCAATATTAGTTATGATGTTAGGATTATGGCAGGGTGCCTGGACTTCCTACAAACCCTCTGAGGAGAATAAAGAAATATCTGAAACATGGTGGCTCATGTCTATAATCCTAGTTATTTAGGAAGCCCATATCTGGACTGTTTGAAGACAGCCCAGGCAGGAAAGCCCATGAGACTCTTTATCACCAATTAAGTACCAAAAGAGTTAGAAGTAGAGCTGTGGCTCAAGTGGTAGAACACTAGCCTGGAAGGAAAACAGTTCAGAACAGTAGCTATACCCTGAGTTCAAGCCCCAACACACACACACACACACACACACACACACACACACACACACACACACACACACACACACACACACACACACACACACACAGAAGAAAAAGTTATCTTTGTTACCAATACTGCATGCATTTTACTCATTTGTGATAGATATTCAGAAAGCATATATATTGTCTAGCTTTTCTGGGCTTCTTTTGTTCTTGTCAAGTTATTTATCTTGTCTGTGTTTCAATTTTCTCGTCTGTTCAATGAGTCTTGTAAACTACCTTATGGAGGTAGGGGTGAATTTTGATTATATTCTATTTATGATGGTACCTGTGCCCGCCAAGGGGAAAATGAGGGTAGAAAGTAGACAGTACTATTATTACCATTATTTTTTACTATTGTTATTGTGTGGGTGGTATGAGCCCCCCCTCAGTCCCTTCTGCTTTTTTGTCAGTTTACTTTTTCACATGAGGTCTTTTGCTTTTGCGCAGACTGGCCTTGGACCATGACCCTCCTAGCATTGTCCCCCATATAGCTAGGTTTCCAAGTGTGAACTATAGTGCCTAGATTATTTTTTAAGATAAAGTCTCACTAACTGTCATACTTTCTGGCCTGGAACTTCAATCCTCCTATCTCTGCCTTTTGCGGAACTGGGATTCCATGCATGTGAAACTTCATCTGGCCAAGGTACACACTGGTAATGTCAGTTTATTTCTCAGTGCTGCTGTCACATGGCAAGGGCCCCACGTGAAAACTTGGAATGACCCATTCATTCCTGGGAAGGATGTTCAGCCTCTGCAGCTATCAGAATAGTGGGCTCTTCCTCTCGCTCACTCCATCTTGTACCTTGGCTTTCTGGAATCTGCCGCATTAGACATTTAAAAGTTGGTGATCCACGCTTCCTGGCCTGGCTGCTCTCTCCCCTATTCTTGCAGACAGAATCAGTGCTGGGGAAGTGGGTGGGTCACCTTGGTGGGACTGGGTTATTTACAACTAATTGAAAAAAAAAAAACATCCATCGTGGGGCCTGGCCCCCATAAATGGGAGTGAAACTGGAAGAAGACACGCAAAAGTAAGCCACAGGACTCAGACGATTTGGCATACTGCCACCTGACACTGCAGAATGCCAGAATGGTTTCTGGAGACTGAGAATGGGCTGTGACTCTTCTCCATCCCCCCCCTCCCCCGCCCCGGGCGCATTCTGCAGCCAGCAGATGCCTGAGCCTCTTACTTCCCTTCCATTCTCCACTTACTTACACCTCCTCTGCCTCCAGCCCTGGTGTCTGCCACCTATTCCTCTTCCTCCTCTCAGTGTCTTGGAACTGTTTTGTTGGTTTGTTTGTTTGTTTGTTGCTGTTTCTCTTTTCGGTTCTTCTTTCTTCACTCCAGTCACTTCAGTGACCGCCTTCCTCTGATTATTCTGTCTTTTCTTCTTACCTGCTCATTACCCTTTCCTTCTCATCTTATTTTCTCCTCTTCCTCCTTTTCCATTCTTCTCTCCAGTTATTTCCTGACAAATATTTCCTTTCCTCCCTTTCTCTTTGCACACACACATTCTACAAATATTTGTCCAGCACAAAATGTCGGTGCATATGTCTGCACTTGTTTAAAATCCTCATCATTGTGGAACTTGGGTAATATCAAAATACTCCTACATTAGATTGTGGCAGAGGCTATAGAAAAAGAATGAAAGGAAGAAAGCTGAGAGGGAAGAGAAGGAATTCATGCTTAGATCCCAGAGCCTAAGCACCATCCTTTGCCTAGGATCACAGACACTTGACATTTCTCTTAACGTTGCTCCTTCTCCTTGTACTTGGTCGTGTTTAAGTTGTTGGTCTTGCTGCTGCTGCATTTCCTTTTCATAGTTTTTTTTTTTTTTTCCCAAAAACAAGGGTCTTGGTGAATACATGGTATTGGCAAAGCTTCTGTTCCCCAAGCAACCTTAGGGCCAGTGTCTAGTTCAGTGGGCAGCATAGTTCCCTGTGACACAGCTTTGACCCCTCTTTTTTCTTTCTTATACTTTGTACAGGAGTTGGGAACCTGCAGCAAACAATGTACAGTTACAGAGGTGAGACAGGGTAGTCAGAGAGCCCTTGGGAACACAAAAGCGATGATGTGGATCATAGATAACATGGATTCTGGTCTCTCTCTCTCCCTCCCTCCCTCCCTCCCTCCCTCCCTCCATCCCTCCCTCCCTCCCTCCCTCTTTTTCCCTCCCTCCTTCCCCCCCTCCTCTGTCTCTCTGTCTCTCACACACTCTTAGTCCACTTCCTTATGTCCCATGAGAAAAATAGAACCGTTGTTAGAATCTGCCAGTCCTAGCTGTGACTTCTGACTTGAACTCATCCTCTCTGTCTAGGGCTTGGGTGGGCTTCTAACCTCTGGTCACTTGTCTTTGTAATGTAGAGCTGTTAACACTGATCTCACAAGGGAACAGGTCTAGAAAACGAAAGATGACAACACACCCCTCGGTGCTCAATAGATATCTCTGATCTTTCTTTCCACATTCTCCCTCTTCTCAAACTAAATGTGGTAAAAAAAAAAAAAAAATATTGCCCTCCCCACCCCATTGAAAAAGAGACCTGTGGTACAGTCTGAGAGAAAGCAAGTGCTTTGTAGAGGGAATGGAATTACTTGGTAAAGGCACATAATGTGGCCAGGAAAACTGTATTTCAAGGTGGTAACCAGAGTAGTCAACAAGGTGATTGAAAAGCTAGGCAAAGAGACTAGAGAGAGAGAGAGAGAGAGAGAGAGAGAGAGAGTGGTGGTATTTCTTAACTAAGGGATGAGCAATACTTTTTTAAATTTTATTTTATTGTGAATGTGCTGTACAAAGTAGTTACAGTGACATGAGTAAGGTAATGAGTACATTTTGGATAGTGGGAGAACAAAGGAGAGAGTAGCCAATCAGTAGTTTTT